ACAATTTTTATAGTGGGGCCGGGGGTGCTGAAAGCTATTAAACCAAATTGTAAACCCCATATATAATGGAAACCACTTCAAGCCAGGGGATTCAGAAGCACCTCCAGCACACTCAGTTCCAGCACCTATGCAGAAAGGTGAACTGACTTGCCCAAAATAATACTAGATTAACATTAACATTAGTACTCATTAGTTTAGGAAGCATTGCCTGAGAGGTAATATCTTTGCATGTAAACTGTTGTAACCAGTCTATCAGTGGCTGTAGAGAAGGAAGGGGACATGAAGGGTGATTTTCTAATGCAACATTCACAAAGGATTGATTTCTCATTTCTGTCTCAAAACACACATTAAGCAGTAACTTAGTGCAACTTGATGTATGATGTAGTATGGAAGAGGAATCTGTTGAAAGAGTATTAGTGGTAGAAATATATGTAATTTAAAAATGTTTCACCCAAAAGAGAGACGTGAGGGAGCAAGGTTATGGTTGTAGGTTGACATGGCTGGAAAGCTCCATCAGGTCCAAAAGCAATTTTCATTTATTTTTCTACTTCTACCTGGTGTTTTTGAAGCCTGAGCAGTACAGTGACAATTTTTCTCTTCTTTGTACTTTGTTTACTCCAACCTTCTCAGAGAAACTGAGATTGACCCCTGAGATGCTGTTAAAGAAAATCCGGAAAAATCTCTACCACAATTTTTTCCAGCAGCCGTAACCTTCAGCAAACACAAGAGAGAGAGAAAAAAAAAAAAAAAAAAAAACGGACATTGACTAACTTCAGATGTTATCTGTACAGTAGCATCAACTCTGCTGAAATTAGGCCGCTAGAGGCTCAGTGATTCAGAACAACATATGCCTCGCTTCCAAACTATCCACATTCATAGCTCAGGGCACCTGTGGCTGATGTTGGGCCCCAAATAATATGTATTTTAAAACATATTTAAACATGCAAAATCAAAATAATAAATACTGTGGGTTTAATATCCATGTATGTAGTACAGAAATCACCTGTTAGCACCAATACGAGCTGCTTCAAATGTCCAGCTCTGTCTTCCCACCCTTGATCAGCTACTGTTATGTCAATCATATATAGTAGTTTTTTTATGACAGAATTGCCCAGTTGACGTCTGAGCATAGGTAGCACTTATATTAGTTATATTGGGTTTCAATAAGTCAATAGATGGTGTTTCATATAAAAAGTTTCAACAAAATTGGAAAAATATCTCTTACATAAAATTATAGTAGTATGGACCAACACCTAGCTACAGACCATGAGCAGGAAATGATCATTAATTAAATTACCACTAGGTAGGGAATTATTTAAAATTATGTTCGGCAGAAACAAGAATCAGGACTAAAACTTTTCATTAAAACCTTGAGACATAAATACCAACTATTTATGCAGACATAATTCCCATTGATTTAAATGAGAGTTCTCCCTGAGTCATAATTTTTTTGAGGCCAACAATAACTTAGTTTTAGTTAAATGTATTATTGTTACAAAAATGTGAAGGATAACATATACACACTAGGACAGACTGATACTGCAAGTAACAAATTTGGACGAAACAAGAAACCAGCTTAGACACCAACTGGACAGACAAGCAAATTCACAATTTATCTGGGTAATTTTTGATGAAACAAATAGGACATCTGAATCTTTTATTCCTTCCAAGTCCAACTTTTAAATCACAGGATGGGGGTACCAAACCATGAGTCCAGCCAGTGCATGACTTGACTATTATAGTTTCTACCATCAGATTTTCATGTGGCGGGTAGGAGGAAAAGCCACTCGTGTCCCTCAGCACTATATATTTGCTCTTTGCCATTTCTGAAATCACAAGTCGTAGCATGAAGGGATAGATCCACACTTCCTTCAACAATGAGTCCACTTATTCTTTGCATACCTACAGGATTTCACTTTCTGGGACTGTAAATCTGGCAACTTTCAAGAATAAATCAAAAGGTATTGACTACAAAAGGTGGGCACGATCACGGGAAGTGTTCAAGTGCAGGTAAATAAGAAAAAAATGAAATAATACTGGAAAACATTCTGCACAAGACTGGGAATCAAACTGAATAACCACATGCATCTCTTCAACCATAATCTAAGAGTAAAAGACTAAAGAAAAATATATATCTACTAAAAACTGCAGTTTAGTAACATCTGCACTGTCTACACACTATGGCCAGATCTTCAGCTATGCTGGAGCTCTTGTTCTAAGTTGTGCCCAACTATTTATGGTCTCAAGGCACTGTTCTGAGAGCAAAGGATAGATGCAGTGTAGCAGTGTTAAGGCCACAGCTCCTTCCCTCTGGCTATGTCCCACACTGGGTGCCAGGTGTATGTCAGCTCTGAGTTACCCAAGATGCCTATTGTAGGAGACAGAAGGTAAGCTGGAGAGAGAACACCCAGAGCACTGGGCCTGGTGCCAAATTTGAAGCCTGAACCAAAGGTTGTAAACCAAAGTCAGGCCGTGTATTAAAGCAAATGCTTACAAGTTCACAGTCTAGTATATGAACTTGGCAAAGTTGTTGCTAGTGTAGTAGGCACTAAATATTTACGTAAATATATTCCAGCAAGTAGATATACATCCCAATCTAGTACAAGATAAGATGATTTGACAAAATAATGAATAGGAATGTTTTCCCCAAGGTATCAGGCGCAAAGGGAAGTAACAAACAGATGTCATGAAATACGTAAGGTAGTGTATAAGTTGTGTATTCCAGTTGTTTGCCTCAGCCTATAGAGGTCAGGATACCCCACCTGAACTCTTTGTGTGGCCTAGGGGACAGCAAAAACTACCAGTGCTGACAGAGCCACTCCTTGAACAGGGCACTCATGTGTTAGTGTACCTGTAACCATGAAGCCAGGGTGCTAGGACTGTGCCTCGAGGGCAATAACCGTGGCCAAGTGCCTTTGTCACCAAACCATGCCAGTGGTCTTTCTTTATGAGTAGCATCCAGGCCTGCTGAATTACCATGCTGCACTATCTACTAATACCATTGGCGCTCCAAGAGCAGAAGCACTGAGCAGCCTAAACAGCATTACCGAGGCAACGGCCTTCCAGCCTCCAGCACTTAACCACACTGGGTGGTACTATCAAGGTCTGCTAAGCCAGCTATCTGTGCAGTGCTGAACAGAACACTGAAAGAACACACACACAAACTAACTGACGGCACCTCTTATGCAAGGGGAATCAAGTAGCTGTATAAGCTTGATTTCCAGTTGCTTTGCACTGACAGAGCAGGGCAAATGACCCAGATGGTAGTGGATTGGCTTAGTAACTGCAAATACCTAAATTGCTGTTAACGTGTTTGCTTTTGCTCAGATCTTTTTGGCTATATGAGGTGCATTATATGGTGTAGCATGTTAGTATTTCTCAGAGTCTCTGGAATACAAGTGATTTCTGATCCAGTGCTGTAGTTGCAGGGCCTGTGAGTAAAGAACATTATTTTTTCCACTAAAAAATTTGTTTCCAGTTATTGAACTGCCATCCTTTCAGATTGTAACGTTATCTTTCTGCGTTTTATGCTCCAACCCATTTTCAGTGGCAGTGGTTTTTATGGGAATAAGCATCAACAGAGCAAAATCTGATGTTGAACACGCAAGTGTAGCTCACATTGAAATCAATGAGAGCTACATAGAGAAATCGGGAATAGATTAATCAAGATTAATGGAGCCTATTTCTAAATCCATTAATTCAGGTATTTTGGTGAGAGAGATGCAGAATGACAGGTTTTAATTGTGAAAGTGTATGACATATCTCCATCTTTACAGTACATCTTTTTATTTTATAGAGGTGTAATATATCATTATGCAAGATATGCTCATAAAATAAAGTTTAAAAGCATTGGGTGTCAGGAATTTCAAATTATGAATAATTTGAGACGTGCCGGCATGAGGAAATATAGAAACCATCTTTCCACAGGAACAAGCTTGGGGCCAGATCCTCAGCTGATGTAAATTGGTTCAGCTTTGTTGACCCCAATGGAACTAAATCAAGTTACATCAGGTAAGGATCTAGCCCCTGGTACCTTTAATTTTCCCCTTGCCTTACAGGAAAGGATTGTCTTTTTCTAAAGGAACCCAGTGGTATCTGATGGTATTCACCCATATAGGGCATGAAGTTCCCAGGAGGACTGTGGAACATTTGACATATCCACAAGTATTTTATCAATAAACACACATAATGAACAACACTTCCCCTTGATATCATTGTGCCTAATGAGTGTTAATATACATATATTCAATGCAACACAGAATAGATTCCTAAACCTGAGATTGTTGCATGTAGTAGTGTGACCAGTTACTAACACCACCAGAGATAAATGCCTACCTTTAAAACTGTCTGGAATATATCAGAATGTTTTTATACTGTATAATACAGCATAACATATACTGCAAAGAGGTAAGGTAACTCAATATAAGCAATCAAAAGAAATGTGACGTTAGATATGCATCAGTCCAAGTTTCTACTTGCTTGTCATTTGCAATGTACAGTACATGTTGTATGCATGTCTGCTGTGTACTGCATGTTGGACAGCATGCTATGGTACATGTTGCAAAAGTAATAGATGTGTAAATCTCATATTCACAGTTTAAAGTGAGATATTTCCTAACTAGAGAACTTAAATTAGTTTAGGTCAATTTATTCCTTTCACTAAAAGAAAGCAAGACAGAAAAGAAGTTAAAATGCTAAGAGGATCAACTGGATCAACATCCCTGAGCAAAATGTGGAAAAAAATAAAACAAAATGAGGACAGAGATAAGCATCATGTTTTTTCTTTCAGGGATAAACAGAGTGCAAAACTTTGAACATCCCTTCTGGTGTTTCAGCTTTTCACATCTAATTCTTTAAACCTCAATTATATTAGCTTTGCCAATCAGTTTTACAAAGATTTTGTCCCCTGCCATTGTAAACTCTTAGTATTTCTCATTTTACCAATGTGACAACTGCCTCTAACACTTATAAATATTGAAGATCATTTTCTGCATAATTACCTTGTGAAGTCTGTCATCTCCATCATAATCACACACATCCTCTTAGCCAAAACAATGATGTCATTGCTGGTATCATCCCATATTTCAATCTCTGCATCAAGCTTACTTTTGACTTTCTTGAAGTCAGCCACTTGCTCAGCTATCTTTTCTTTTTCAGCCTCTGGCAGTTGAGTCATTTTAGCCTGAAACATAAGATAATTTGATTTGCAAAACATCTGTCTGTGTCTAAGAGTAATTTCTTTTTGGAAAAATCACTGGACATTAAATATATGTTTTAAATATACATGGGCCTGAACCAACACCTCCAATCGGAGCACCTTTCAATTGCATAACTGGGCCTTATCTCTAGAACAATATGAAATGAAATTCTGAAATGTAATACTCTTGACTTTTGAGTAGACCCAGATCAAATTCATGCTTTGAAGTTCAAGTCCATCTCCTAATACTCACCTTCTAACCAAAAATGACCCCTCTTATTTTTTAATGGTATTCATCAATTGTCTTTGGAACTTTTCTGCAGGGATTCTAACAATGGGAAAAGTCAACCTTCATTCTACGGTCAGTTCTCACCTCCCTTAAGAAAGTCATGATGAGAGGCATATCAGAATCTCTGATCAGCTCAAACAATAAGACTCTGTGGGCAAGCTACATCTAAAAGGATTAAAATATTAATTATTGTACCCTCTGAGACTAATAGTAAAAAAACCATCAAACCCACATATGCAGAACTCTGAAGATGCTGATATCTTCTTGACTATGAAGGTGATCTGGGTGAATGCAGAAACAAATTGCTAATCATTCTTGTCAATAAAGCCCACTATTCTGCTTTGCCATAATTTGTGACCCTTTTTACTCATTTTTCTGCAAACTTTTATGCAGATTATTTTTCTTCACCAGAATGTTCAAACACAAAAGCATCCTGAACACTAATATATAGGGCCCTACCAAATTCACAGCCATGAAAAACGCGACACGGGCTGTGAAATCTGGTCTTTTCTGTGCTTTTACCCTATACTATACAGATTTCATGGTGGGGAAGGAGGGGGACACCAGCATTTCTCATATTGGGGGTCCTGATCCAAAAAGGAGTTGATGGGGGGTCACAAGGTTATTTTAGGGGAGGTCACAGTATTGCCGCCCTTACTTCTGTAGTGCCTTCAGAGCTGGACAGCCAGAGAGTGGTGACTGCTGACTGAGAGCCCAGCTCCGCAGGAAGCAACGTAGAAGTAAAGGTGGCAATACCATGCCATGCCATCCTTACTTCTGCGCTGCTGCTGGCAGTGGCTCTGCCTTCAGAACTGGGCTCCCAGCCAGGAGCCAATGCTCTCCACCTGCCCAGCTCTGAAGGCAGCACTGCGCCAGCAGAAACGCAGAAGTAAGGGTAGCAGTACCGCAACGCCCCCTACAATAACCTTGTGACCTCCCCTCCCCAACTTCTTTTTGGGTCAGGAGCCCTACAATTACAATGCCTTGAAATTTGAGGTTTAAATAGCTGAAATCATGAAATTTACTATTTTTAAAATCCTATGACCATGACATTGACCAAAATGGACCCTGAATTTGGTAGGGCCCTACTAATATATATCTATGATTGTATTCACACCAGAAATGCACTTGCAGCTATTTTGAAAGCTATTTGTGGTTCAAAGCGGACAGGGCCCTGTAAAACAGATGATCCAACTGAGTAGGAGGAAGCTCTACTATTCAAAATTTTCTTTTTTTCTTTTCTTCCTGTTTAACTGGTTCTGCCACCAGAATTTCTCCTCACTGAGAGAGAATGTGTGCACATGCTACTGTATGTATGCACTGTGCCCTGAATTCACGCAATCCTCATCTGACCAAATTAACTATCTTTGTTCTTGTAGGTTTTGTTTCAGTGATTAGTTTTTGAAAGATGTGGGGACATCCTTTTATACAAAGCAAAGCCCAGCAACTCAAATCTAGAGCCCTGAAAATAGCAAGAAAAGCAGAAACCACAGCATTCATCCTCATCATACATTGCTACATAAACTAATCAGAAGCCACATTACAGGATTCCCTCATAAACTTAGAGCAGCGGCAGAAAAGTATCATCATCACAGAGAGTGGAAGTCATAGTTGCCAGTTGCTCCAGGAGCTCTTTTCTGCTTAGCTTCAGTCCCAGTGTGGTCTAGTAACTTAGGCAAGTATGTTGATCTTCTCCACAGCAAAGTACAGAGGCTCAAGGGAATACAAAGCAATTTTCCACGTGCAGCAAAAGAAATGAAGGATGAAGACATGAATCTGAAAATGGAGATTCTCCCACCCACCCCTTTGTTGATTATACATGCATACAAAGATGCAGATGAAAACAATTGTAACATTATCAAGCCCAACAACAACAACAACAAAAAACATTGGGTAAAGAGAAATAATTGTGACATGCTGCCTGGCCTGGCCCATTTGCCGACTATTGATACCAATATTCATACTCTCTCTCATCCATTCTCTTTGTGGTCCTAACACTGGATGAATCCACTTGGAGCTTAGAGACAATGAGGACAAGCCCAAAGTCTTCCAGACTGTCCCAAAAGGAACACTCTCCACAATCTGATCTGCCACATCCTTTTCCAAGAGAAGTATAGTAGCAGGTTTGGATCAGGCCCCTGCCAAATGCACACAGCCACCAAGCCAATAAGCTTGTGCTCCCATTTGTTAATGTCTTTATCTGCCTCAGGAGGTAAGAGGCAACGACATCTTGAAATCCTGGGTCCATAAACCAGAGAAAGCCAAAAGTATAATGTCCTTGAGTATGTATTCATCTGAGGCAACACACAGCTCTTTTGAGGGCAGTTCTAGACCTCTGTTATCATTTTCCTGATCATACCATGCAGAGAGTTCACATTTTTCTCCAATAGAAAGATCAGTGGAATGAACTGGCTAATATTAGAGTAATCTCTGCTGATGAACCTCAGGGCAACTGTCAAAGGCCCTCAGAATGTCTCAAAATTCTGATACGTAATAATGTTGTATGAGAGATGGGGAATATACAGGGCGGGGGCTACCACTAGGCGAACTAGGCTGTGGTCTAGGGTGGCAAGTAGTTAGGGGTGCCCGGGCCGTCCTCAGGCATAGGCAGCTGGGTAGAGCACCTGAAAATTTGAGGCACCCTACTGGTTTTCCTATCCCTGTTCTGACCCTTCTTGCAGGCTCTGAGTCTTCCTGGGAAGGGGATCTAGTAGTAATGCCCCTCTGCCATGTACATTGGCCAAACCGGACAGTCTCTACGCAAAAGAATTAATGGACACAAATCTGACATCAGGAATCATAATACTCAAAAACCAGTGGGAGAACACTTTAACCTGTCTGGTCATTCAATGACAGACCTGCAGGTGGCTATATTACAACAGAAAAACTTCAAAAACAGACTCCAAAGAGAGACTGCTGAGCTGGAATTGATATGCAAACTAGACACAATCAACTCAGGACTGAATAAGGACTGGGAATGGCTGAGCCATTACAAACATTGAATCTATCTCCCCTTGTAAGTATTCTCACACTTGTTATCTAACTGTCTGTACTGGGCTAGCTTGATTATCACTTCAAAAGTTTTTTTTTCTCTTACTTAATTGGCCTCTCAGAGTTGGTAAGACAACTCCCACCTGTTTATGCTCTCTGTATGTGTGTATATATATATATATATATCTATCTCCTCAATATATGTTCCACTCTGTATGCATCCGAAGAAGTGGGCTGTAGTCCACGAAAGCTTATGCTCTAATAAATGTGTTAGTCTCTAAGGTGCCACAAGTACTCCTGTTCTTTTTAAAAGAGAAACAGTCTCCAGCCTGCCAGACCCATTAGCACAACACTGAAACTGTTAAAGAGCCATTCAAGTGGTAATGAAGACATTTAACAGGCATTTGCCAACCCCCAGGTATCTACTGTCAGTTTCTGAATGTACTGAGAAAAACAGTTGTGCATGACTGTAATATTTACTCAGAACATGTCAATCTACAGGACCTTAATTTAAAATTCATTAGTGAGTTGGTGAAGATTATAAAATCCCATCTCTAAAAAAATCCTTGCATAGATTTTTAGATGAACAATCATCTTTAAGCCTTAAATACTTGGATCTTCAGACATATGTTTTTTTAAATAAATTCTTCAAAAGACCACCTGTAGTAGTTTTGGGCTGCGGTTCGGCCCTCAGCGGGGCTATGGGGTAGCCCACCACCTCGCAACAGTCAGAAAAGAGCCCCGATTCCTCAATCAGGGTGGGGCAGTAATCACACAGTCAGGCAAATACCCAGGCCCTTAAGCAGGGGCTGGGTCAGAGTTTGTAGCAGCCCAGGCCCTAGGTCAGGGCGGGGCAATAATCAAATAGTCAGGCAAATACCCAGCCTCTCTAGGCCAGGGGAAAAAGGGGGAGTCTGCCACCCAAGGAGTGGGTGGCAGGGTGGACGCAGGCCCTCCCACTCCACTGCGTCCCAGCCCGGGGCCCTAGCAGCGACCGCTGCTGTCAGTGGGGATCCTGGCCGCAACACACTGACATCGGCTCTGGCAGTGCAGCAGCCAGACTGGGGTCGACTGCCCCCAGGCTACTTCCACACTCCCCCTCGTATGGTACCTGGGCCGTCTTAGTGTCGTCAGTGCTCTCCACCAGCATTGGCTCCTCTGGGTAGGTAGCGAAGGGCACGCTTGGCCAGTCCTCCCCGGGGTAGCGGGCCCGGGGCAGGCTTGGCCAGTCCTCCCCGGGGTAGCGGGCCCGGGGCAGGCTTGGCCAGTCCTCCCCGGGGTAGCGGGCCCGGGGCAGGCTTGGCCAGTCCTCCTCGGGGTAGCGGGCCC